CGATCGCTTCACCGATTGTCCCATTCTAATCGGTAAGTCCATTGATTTCTTTGAATTATCTAACAAAACTCATTCATTTAGGATAAAGGAATATTTTGAGAATATTGGGTGAACAAATGTGGTCATTATCTTGAAAAATATCTATCCTAATTTAATTCGTGAATTTTATCGAGATCTCTCTTTTTGCTCACTCCATGTCACTTGCACTATTGAAGAGAAACGTATTACACTCGATAGGGATACAATTAGAGAAATATTTAGGTTAAAGGTATGTGAAAACCTTGCTTATATTCATCATTATCCTATTAGGTTTGAGGGCTATGACGAACTCGAAGCTTGTTGTCAAGCCACCGATCGACCACTAACCACCACAATAACCTTAAACCTATATCACCTTACTATACCATGCAAAATTCTTCATCGTGCTATTGCTCATATTATAGTCCCTCGGAGTGGACATTTTGAAGAGGTTCATCACCTCCACTTGTTCATTCTTGACTCTTTTCTTGTTGATCGTCAATTGGACTTTCCCTACCTCTTTTTGAAGCACATTTGACAGATCCACAAGTCTCCTAGAGCCCTAGGCTTACCTTATGTCCTGCTTCTTACAAGAATCTTTCAACATTTCAATGTGCCATTAGACGATGAGTCTTTTCTTAAACCCAAACACACCGATGTCATTAATCTTAACACCCTTAAACGCATGAAAATCATTAAAGGCAATGGGCAATGAGTGTGTCATACTCAAGGCTTCTTCGCCGTTCACTTTAGAAGAGGTGGAAGAAGGAATGTGTGGTCATGATGATCATGGTGATGATGGTGATGATTCTCCTCGAGCACAACATAGGAGTCCTACTTCACAAGTAGCACCGATCGCTGGCCGATATATATCCGAAGATCAATTCAACATCTTACAAGGTCAGATTGATTCTCTTACTGCTACCGTCAATGTGCTTGATCAACGAATGGTACAAATGAGTTTATCTCAAAAAAACCTTCTTTGTACACATGTATTCCATTTATCTTCGCGGTCCTCCTCCACCGGCGGAGGATTAAAACAATATTTCTAAGTTCTATTTTTTTTTCAAACTCATGTTTTATTTTTCATGTCATGACCTATGATTACTTTTACTTGTTTTTCCTAACTTTCACCTATGCCTTAATTAAGGGGGAATTTGACTGGCTTCATTGTCCTCATTCCTTTTTGATGATGCCAAAAGGGGGAAAAGGAAGGAAAATGTAATTGTAATTGTGACTTGTTATTTCTATTTTGTTATGAACTATGTTTTGTAACTTGTAATTATAATTTGTGACTTGAGCTGTCATTATGGAATTTGTGAGTTCAATTATTTCTATTAAGTATGATGACTTCTAGATGATATTTACTATATCAATGAATTGTGAAAATGCACGTCTTTAGAATATCATGCTATATATGATACAAAGGTGGTTCCCATTGATGTGTAAAAGATAGGGGGAATATCTTATATATTTCTACAAATCACTGCAAATCACATATTGTTTGTTATAATAAAAAAGGGAGAAATTGTTGACATATAATTCAATATAGCCCCACTTGTTTTGATTATAACAAACAATACACTTATATTTCTGACAAGTTTTATTTCTTGGGTTTTTCATAAATATATCTTCTTAAACATTCAAAGATTCAAATCGTCATCCGTTGAAAAACAAACAATCAAATAAGACTTGAAGAGAACAAGAACAAGAACTTTGAAGATTAAAGCTTAGAAGTAGTTTATCAGAACTTAAATGTAAAAGTATTAACTCATCAATTCTTAGCAAGTGCATAAAACTCAAATTATTTTCATAATCCATCACTTATATAAAAATGTTTTTCATTCATAATATGAAATAGATTTTGAAAAGGCAATTTATAAATTTTTTTTTTTTTTTTAAAAATCAACTTTTGGTCAACCAAAATTCCAACGGTTTGATTTCTCAACGGCTAAAACATTTTCGGTCAACTGAAATCGGTCAACCAAATGTGAAGGCATCCTTTGCTCTGTAAATGTCCATCTCTTCCTGCATTCAATTTCAACAACTTACAAAAGATATTTAGAGAGCTTATTTATTGAAAATTATTGAGTTTACTTGATTCTACATTCTAATTCATTTATTACAAAGAGTTTCTTGATCAGTCATACATATTTCATTTAATTTATTAAGAACAGTATTTTGCAAAGAACTTTTCATAATCTCACATATTTTTTTATCATTGGTAGAAGGTTTCTTTGCCAACACTTTGATTTAAATGTAAATCTCTTTTCATACTTAACTTGCATTATTTGTTAAGAGAGATCATTGGTTTGAAAATTTTGATACAAAATACAAACTATTTCATTCATCAAAGTTTTCGTCATAAACACTTGACCTTTATTATTTGATATCTATTGAAGTGTTATCCTAACTCTCTAAATACTTGACTTGATTATATCATTTTTAGGAGAGTTCTTTCAATGGTAAAACTATCATTTACACTTTAGTGGTTTCGAGAGCCTTATGAAAACTCAATTGTTGTTAAGGATAAATGCCACTTATTGATTGCCACTTAAGGATATGTGCTCCTTGTTGTAAATCACCTAAAGATAAGTGCTTCTTATTGTAAGTTACTTAAGGATCAGTACTCCATGTTTGTAAATTACCATTATAGTACATCTGGCCTTGCTCGTGACGAAGAGTTTGGTAATGGGGACGTAAAACACATTGTGTATCAAACCCTATTAAATTGGTTTGTTATCTTTACATTATTGCACTTTACTTTACATTGTCATTTATATTGTTCTATATCCATACTTGGATGAAGTTATCGAACTTGCATATTTAATTCTAGTATTATACTTCGCATTAATATCTTGTGTATTGTATTGTTTTGAGATTAAATGTCGAAAAAGTTTTAAAAACCAATTCACTCCCCTCTTGGTTTATTATTCTTGGGTTATCACAATCCACCCGGCCACATGAAGGACCATCTGCCTCTTCGCCAATGAGAACCAGTCATGAGGCAGTGCATTCCTTAATTTGAAGATGCCCAATGTGTAAGGATCTGCTCAAGTGAGGAGATGAGTCTGCTCAAGATTTTTTTGATTAACGTACATGTTTTTGGTGGATTTTTTTGACTTAGTGACCTTAAATTCAAAAGAGTTTCTTAAAGCAAGCATTTCTACCTCATCCCGATAATCATCATTTGTAAAGTTCACATAATCATTTTTACAATTTTAATTAAATGGAGACAACATTTGCATATAATTGTCAACAGACTTATTTTTTTGCATATTGCATTCATCCATATATTCAACATTATCTACAACAACTTTAAAATTGTGTTCACGATTCTCCTGAATATTTACTATATCAAGGTCCATATCTTGTTGATCATCAACATAATCCTTTTCTACAAGGATTATACAAATTGTAACTTGGTCAAGAGAGAAACCGACTAACATCCATATCGCATTTGATCTTCATTGGGGGAATTGATAATTTTGCCATGCGAGGTACAAGAAATTTTATCTCGATGTCATACATAACAGAATCAACCTGACCGCTTTTCTGACTTCCTCATACAACTCCATATATGAAAAACCTTCTGACACAAAAATATTTGTTGCCACATCTTGATAATTCCCTATTCATTTCCAAATCCATCAATTTTGATCACTCTTTTCGAATTTAACAAAATAACAAATGACAATCATTGCACGAGAGTCCATATCTACAATCCACCAAAAATATGTAATATATTATTCCATTAATTGTCAAAACTGACTACTATAAAATACACCTTCAATAATAAACAAAAGGCAACCAATATTGTTGCATAATAGATTTAAAGTAGATAAAAATGGCATTCTTTAGTTTAAAACGTGTGTGCGTCATTTAAGTCTATTTAAAATAATATAATGCTATAAAGAATTGAGGAATAACTAACTTGCAAACAACTATATCAATGCCACCATTATCAAATTACAAAGCACTCAGTTACAGAAAAAGGGCACATAACTACAGAAAAATTGCACCATTCCATTTTTATATTTCATAACAAATTTTACTTACCCAATTGATTTTTCATAGTATACAACTAGAAAATAATAATAAATCGTTAATTTTTAAGTTATAAATCATACCCTCAATTGTTTGAAATCGATTCTTGCTAACCCACTTCCAAAATTTGCGGTGTTTGATTTGTCCTTGGTTCAAATAAAGAAATTTCAGAGTGTAGTTAATGTATAAAGAAGAAGAAAATTGGATTTGAAGATAGGTTTAATATGGTGAAAGTGAGTTTGCAAACGTTAGAATTATGAAGGATTTAAGAGGATTTGGAAATTTATATTTGGGGATATGGTAAATATTGATCTTCCAAGTGAATATTTTAGTCATTTCATATTAAGGGTATTTAAGACTTTTAATATATGATCAAACCCCTGTTTGAGCTATATTAAAATTTTCATTCTCATTCTTCCATTCATTTTCAACTACAGATTCTTCAATAAAATAATATTTTTCATCATATCAATAAATTTTCCTTCTTTTTCAACCAGACATTCTCCATCAATCTACTATTCCAAAATATATTCTTCTAAACTAATGTGACTCAAACACATCCTAAATTGACTGTAGGCTGAACAATAAGGGCGTGTTCGGTAGAGATTAAAATCGGATTAAAATTAAAAAACTAGCTGTTATTGTTGATTTTTATTAGACGAATGAAATCCAATAACGATCATATTTTCAATTTTAATTGAATTTTAATAGAAAACAAACAGGCTAATTTTACCAAATATATTGGTGGATGGCTTTTTAGTTTTTAAACAAATTCCCCTTGCACAAATGACGCGGCCAACGTCCATTCGAGAGATACCAGCATTTTTGCGTCCATTTTGAGGTGGAATTAAGGCCATACCGTACTCACAGATGATTTCAAAGTTCATCCCTTCCTCTTCCTAGTTGCTCTATTTTGATAACAATTGTGGTGCAAAATGGCTGTAGCGGCAACGGAGGCTGCATTCTCCATCTTCCACCCTTATTCTTCTCCAAAATCTCAATCTTGTTACAAATCTGTACCCTCTCCGAGGACTTACATTTCTGCTTCTAACCCTACATTTTTCCTTAAATCCCCGCTTTTTTCACTCCCTCTTCTCTCAACTCCTCAGCCCCTCGAAACCCCAAGATTTAAATTACGCTCAACTTTAGGAAATGCGATTGTAGAAGAAGATGCAGAGCAAGCCCAGAAAGTTAATCAAAAAAGGAAACTTTTCGTGCTGAATTTGCCTTGGTCTTTCTCGGTTGTGGATATAAAGAACTTCTTTGGTGAATGTGGAACTGTGGCAGACGTCGAGGTATAAAAAGTATACAAAGATGTAGACTTGCAATTATATATGTTTTATACTATATTTCTATAGAGAATCTGTTCTGAATATTGGGTTTATTTTTCTTTTTGCTTCGAAAGTTTAGATTATCAAACAGAAAGATGGGAGAAGTAGAGGATTTGCATTTGTAACTATGGCTTCTGGGGAAGAGGCTCAGGCTGTAATTGATAAATTTGACTCTTCTGTAAGTTCTTTTCTAAATATGAAATTCTATTATTGTCCCTAATAAACTTGAAAGATTATATATTGTCTCTAATATATATTATTTTATTTCATTTTTTTTACTTGAATATCTTCTGACATAATCAAATCCTTTCATTCTGGAGAGTTTCTTGTTATGTTAATCAAAGCAATAGTTCCTTACCAGTGTCCATATACTAATTATTCGAGTTTACAAAATATTTACTCCAAAAGAAAGACAAGTTTATTCATTCTGTTCTATTTCGAAATGTAATTGTTGTCCATTGATCAACACTGTTGTTTGCGCAAAATGTTTACTATTACCAAGTGATTGAATTATAATTACAGAATAGTAATCTTCTGTAATGACTAGCTAACGAGACCAAATATGATAACTGTCCATTGCTCACCACAATGTAAAGATATTAAAGTTATTAAAGCAGTAAGATAACTCAAACCAAGTTTTTTTGAAATTGAATTGTTTGAGCTTTATGGATACAGTGGTTTGTACCCTGATTTCCTTTCGTGCACAATTAGTAGTGTACTTAATTCTTTTAGCCTGTAGTATAGAATAGAATAGATAAAGAATGGTTATATGTAACTAACTATTATTATTAAATTTATAATACAGTTCAAAAAATTTCAGTTCATTCGTTGATAAGTGATGTAAATGATTTGTTTAACTAAATACACTCGCGCAAGAAGAAGATGACATTTCTTTTTCAACGGTTAATTTCTTTGTAAATATTTCTTATAATTAAGGCACATACTGAAAAATTAATTAGACTCCTAATGTCTGAGAATAACTCCAATAAACATACAGAAGTTGGAGACAAAATAAGAGCACTATTGTGGGATCTTTTGATAGTACTTAATTGTCTTTTGAGTTGCGATGTATGATTTATATGCAAGTTTCCCTCATTTTGTTAATAATTATCTTTGGCAGTGATTACATTATATGAAATTCAGGATATTGAAAAATGAGAAACAAATACTTGGGAGATTAGATAGAAAGAGAAATTAGAATAGGGAGACCCCAAGTTAAAACAATTGGACGTCATACTATTTTCTTGGTAGTAATTTCTCTTCAAGTTAGCACTAGAATTAGCTATGGGGCCCTCATGTTGCTCATATATATTACATAAATTATGCTCGTTGTGTGCTCTTGTATCTCCAAAAATTAAACTCATTCATTCGTTCATTAATTTGCTGAAGATTCGATGCATAACTCTTAAGACACTTATATTGGGATTAACATGCTTCTCTGCCCTTTCAGTGTGAGAGCAGTTGCCTAGCTAAAGTTTTTTTTTACTAACACATAAAATTTTGTAATCTTCTAGAAAGCCTCAGAACCCTCTATCCGTAGAAGCAGCAATGCAATTTATAAATTTGTCTTTGGTCAAGATTTATATCTCCAAGGATTACTTTTACATTAGGTAGATGTCATTTAAGGTGTTATGTTAATCTGATAGAAATGTATAAAGTTGGTCTTAAATAATCCCATGCACATATTTTCGTTTGACCACCTTCAACTTCATGTAATTTGTTTGAACTGGCATATCCACCAATGCAATTTGTGAAATTTCTTTCCTGTCAAGGAGAATGCTTGAAACACCTGGAATAATCCTGAAAAGATGAATCGGTAAATGAAACCATGACTTTGCGTTAAGAATCTGTAAAGAATTAGCACTGAGAATGACAATAAGCCCCTGGTTGGTACACATTATTTTTTTCATTCTCATATTTCTATTCATTTTCAACCACACATTCTTCAATAAAATAATATTTTCCATCACATCAATAATTTTTCCTTCTTTTTTCAACCACATATTCTTCATCAATCTATTATTCCAGAATACATTTTTATCTTCTATAAAATAATATTTTCCATCACATCAATAATTTTTCCTTCTTTTTTCAACCACATATTCTCCATCAATCTATTATTCCAGAATACATTCTTCCAAAATAATGTGGCTCAAACACACCCTAAGAGAAGAGAAGACAGTTTTATGACTATTCCAAATGATGGTGGATTGAACTTTTGTTTTTGAACAATGGGCATGAAACGGTAATTGAAATCTATTTTGTGTTCTGCATCTCATAAACAATTTAAGATACGTGTGTTATATTTACTACACAATGTAGTAATACATCAGTTAGGTAATATATGGGTGAACGATACTTTGGTTCCTTCGTTCATTACCTCAACTCAGTATTTACCAAAAGCATAAATATAAACATTATGTGTTGGTACAGAGACACACACCTTCGGCTGCTTTGGTGACTTTTTCAGGTTGTCATTTGATATAATTATTGAATTAATGGGAGAGGACTTTGAAGCTTTATGTAAATTGAAAAGGAGTTTTGTGTACTTTCTACAAGCTCTATAGAAGAATTTCTATTCGTTTATGTTATTATATGAAGTAATTTTTGCCCTACAGGAATTGTCCGATAGGATTATCAGGGTAGAGTTTGCCAAGAAATTCAAGAAACCTTCACGCAGTCCTCCAGCAGGTCCTCCGCCTGGAGAGACACGCCATAAGCTGTACGTGTCCAATCTCGCATGGAAAGTGAGATCTAATAATCTCCGAGAATTCTTTTCTGCCAACTTCAATCCCGTTTCAGCTAGAGTTGTCTTTGATGGTCCTTCGGGAAGATCAGGTGGGTATGGTTTTGTCTCTTTTGCCACAAAGGAGGAAGCAGAATCTGCAATTTCTTTATTAGATGGGAAGGTAAATATTTTAGCACGTTATTTGTTCTCTCTAATTCCTTGTTTGTGTGCTTCTATTAAATTTTTATTGGATGTACTTGTACAACTCACTTGGTCAAACATCATAATGAATTTTAATCCTTTGTTAAGTTATATTTGATTATTTACCATTACAAATTTATTTATTTAGTTTACATTTTAAATTTTTTTTTGATTACAGATTTGGGATGTAATTCTTAAAAATGTTGGATTTTAATTTGAAACTAAACTATCAATTTTGTACTCCCTGTTTCAACAATTGAATGGGTTGTTGATTTTCGCATCAAATGACAAGGTACTCTGTGTATGTTTACTTAAATTCGAAAAATATGAATATCTATAAAATTTCTACTAAACAACATTATGTGGGAATCTTTTTTCTTCCAAAAGATATAATTCCATACAAAAACATGGCTTTGAAGAACCCATAGTTTTGTCATTGTGGTTGAATTAAATCATTCACGTTTTCAAACAGAGTACTATGAATTTCAGTTGATTTTGTGAAAATCATAGTTAGAGTCAAATTTAAAGAATCTAGTGGGCTTGGACTTTCTGAACAAGTATAATTTTGCATCCATGTAAAAGTTTTGAAAGTTTGTTGATAAGAAACATTAGGTCTTTCAACACAGTAAAATGGAAAAGAAGTTCCTTGTACTTGTACATGTTCATGAAGAAAGATCTATTTGTCCTTTGTTATTTCTTTTAGTTCTTATGGAAAAAAGTCATGCTAAAATTGTATCGTCTTCGTTGCTTTCTGGGAGTGATTAACATTGGTGTTCGCATATGCTTAAGAAATCTCAGTTTTGCACTGAATATCTGGTTCAAAGTTTTCACCAGTTTCTCCATATACGTTTAATGTTGCAAACATCATCATCATCATCCTGCTTGATCAAGGCGCAAGTACTGAAGCACCTGTTACATGGTTCTTTCGGAAATGAAGATATTGTAGAATTTTGCCCAAGTCTCTGAAGATAAATACTGCTCTGGAATTATTATGTTTAATTGTTTTATTCTTTATGCACAGTCCATGCGTTCTCATGTGAGAGCAACTCCTTTTCAAAAAGTAAAGATCATGCAGACATGACTTTGTAGGGAATACATCAGCATAATGAACCTTACTGGAATGTGTTGTGAGGTGAATTAGACAAAAATAACAGTACTAAAGAAGAAAAGAAGTTAAAATCTTAACTTTTGTATTATTGGGTACATTGTAATACTACGTAGTAAACGTCCACTATTGGTTTTTGAGATTTCTCGGAAATTATATTAAGAAAATGAGTTTTTCAATATAGAGAAATTCAGTGGTGTTATCTTTCTTGTACACAATAAAGTTGAAATTACTATTACTATAATTTTCTGAAATTTTGTCATAACTCAGTTGCTGTCATGACATTGGTTTGTGGAATAAAGTTGGTATTAAGGAAAGAGAGTTGTTTTCAGTCAAATGTTATCTGATTTGTGGATTATGATGAACAGGTGATCAGCTAGTTCTCTGAGTCAAATAGTTGATTCCTAGTCAAAACTTCAATTATTGATGAATAATTTTATCTTAGACATTTCTAGTGAGAGGAAATATTTTTCTTCTCCTTGGCCGAGTATTATTTTGTTATTGCTCTTGCATAAATCCTTTGTTTTAATGACTAAGCTTGCTTACCCTAATCCCAGAATATAGATGATTTGGAGAAAAATCCATGAATGAGAAAATTGATGACTAAGCAGGAACATTTATGCGTGCAGAAGTAATTATAATTTTTAAACTAATGCGGGTTATCAGATACTTGATTTGGAGTTACATGAACATTTTTTATTCTACATTTCTATATGATTATTTCTGGTTCAGGATACACATTATTTCATTGTTTTTAATGCAGGAATTGATGGGCAGGCCAATCAGTTTGAAGCTCAGTGAAAAGAATGCTGATGCATTTGAAAATGAGGTGGAGGAAACAAATGAGGTATCTAAAGAGGCGTAAATTGGTACAAGGTTTTAGCTTTTTCGATGTTGCATTCGTATGTAGATAAAGAGAAAGTACAAATTAAACCAAGATTGTAATTCCTATCTTGGACATGAAAGCCATCTTTTTGCACATTTCATATGATATGTTGGCCATTACCGCTCTAAGCATTTATGTGCTTTGCATAGCTTCATGTCTTCTGATCGTTTAGTTTATCTACATTGAGTTTGCCATAAACTACTATTGGTTTAATAGCTACTATTGTGGTCATCAGTAGATCCAGATTATTATTATTTACTTCATGGATACATATTTGATACAGATTATATTGTTCATAATTATTAGGTTAACGGTTATGGAAATTCTTTTTCTTTGCTAAAATTTTCTATTTCCACGAGACTTTTATGCTGTTGTGCTTTAATAAATATTAGAATTTTAATCTTTTGCTATTCTGATGACTTACTCTTTGTACATGATTTGAATCACATTGAATCCTATCTTTGTGGGCTCTCTTCAAACTCAAAAATATAGCTCCTAGATTATTCCAAATTTCTCATATGTAAAGATTGCTTAAGACATAACAGTCTTACTCAAAGAAGAAGAAATGAACTAAATGATAACTTGAAAACTTGGTGGAGATGTGCAGAGATCACCCGCGTTAGAAGTTTAATAGCAAACATGTTTTGGTTGTGCTTGTGAATCTTGTATCATAAGATATCTTGCAATGAACCTTTGTTTAGGTATTTCACGTGACACAAAATCGATATTTTAGCCATTTGCTCTTGATTAGCTAATTGATCTGATACTTGTCTTGCCGTTAGTATTTCATTATTCTCTTGATACATTTCATCCGGATTGTATTAATTTGTTCCCAGAACTTTAGTTCTTGTTGGAACATGTATACTTGTATTAGTTGCAATGACTAGACACTAATAGACCTATTAGTTCCCACATTCATGTGTGATGTTCATAATAATTGAGACTGCAATCACATTTTTTGTTTTAATTTCTGTGCGTGTTCCTCTGGTCAATGAAGCATGTCCATGTTCGTACACCACTTGGTTTATATATAGCTAAATTCTTACCCGTTGTGTGATAAGTACAAGATGACAGGTTCGAGTAACCCTCTTTTCTTTTCTTCCTTTCCCCTATCCATATGCAGTTCCTAGATCCAAGTGTGACCATTTTAGGTGGAAAAGTGTTCTGATATGTTTAGTTCTTTAGATGAACTGATATGTTTCTCTTTAGGTTGAGGAGATGGTGAGCAAGGACAATTTTAACCTGCTATTAATATAATATATGAGAATTTATTGTGATGATCTCAATGGAAATTTCGCTATAACTTGATTGGTCACCAATGATTTTAAATTTAGAAAAATGTAATGTACGAGCATATGTGGTGATAATTTTGATTTTCCAACTTGCGAGGAAGAAAAAGTTTGATTTTTAGGCTAATCATCCCTCACAAATTTTGAGTTCTGGTCCTACAAGACTTGATCAAGATTCCTCTTCGAAAAAGTTACTTCTTCCAACTGAATTATAGATATTTGATTTTTATTTTACTATATTGATATGTAATTGACTCATATTTGAATGTATACAGACATGCTTTGATTGAATGGTTCAGATATTCTGATCTGTATACAGTTGGAGATTGATGCTTTTTATAGAAAAAGATAGAATATATGCTCCTCAAGTCACATCGTCTTTTACTACTAGACTAGGTTCCCACCAAGCTGACTTTTGAGCCATCATTAAGTGTTTGTAGTATCAAGTATGAACCATGCTACGTGTTAGACAACTTTGTTAACAACCACGAGTTGGTAGGAATTTTCACCATCTGTTTTAAAAATTGTTTTTTAAATCAACAGTATGGATCTTGGTTACACATGGATTGTCAACAAAGTTCTCGACAAAAAATGTACAAATAACTTTATTATGATAGTATTTCATCTTATTGTTAGTTTGATAATTTGAACCATTAATACTCAATGTTTATCCAGTTAATGTTTTGTAATACGTATTTGACATATTTGAAAGGGAGGATTTGATAGTATTTAGCATTTCAGAAATAATTTCCAACCAATGGTAGGTAAGAGTTATCTTATCTTGTAAAAAATTGGAGGCTGACTGTTGATGTGGCAACTCAACGTCAGGGGTGAGCATGTTTTATCATATCCATTATCGGTAGAAGATCATTTCTATTTAACATCATTGAGGAGAGAAGAAAAAGTCAATATATTGTTCATTGAGTATCCTTTGCTAGCGAGGCACTTGGGATCCAGGTTTTGCTGGACTCCGACCCCAACCCAAAAACAAGAAGGAAAGAGAGGGAAACATGTGAAAGTAAAGGAGAGAGGACTAATAATCTTGAAGCTCAACGCTAGGTCAAGTGTAATTTTCACTTTTTCATTGAAAAAACACAATAATAGTGCAAAATAATTCACTTTATCTGTGAAGGCTTCAAAAATAATAAAGCATTAATCCCTCATTTATATTTTCCATAAATAATAAAGTGCTGAGAGTGCTTTGATAAAAATTCCAACCTACTTGATCACCTTTAGTCAACATACCATTATTTTCATGAAAGCAAATTGAGCAAAAGAAAAAGAGTGCCGAAAGAAAGAGAACTCCAATCAAAGCATTTTCTTGCTGCTTTTTTCCCCACCCTTCTCTTCTGTTAGAGATTGCATCTTCTTCTCTCATTTGTTGGATGAAATTGTTGGGTGTCAATTTGAGTATCAAGCAACTTGCTCGACAGGCTTTTTCTAAGTTATGAACATGGGATCTATGGGCAACCCCACGACTTGGATGCCATATATAAACAGTAAGGATTGCACTCAGGGTTTCTGTAGTTTGTACTGCCCCCAATGGTGCTACCTGATCTTCCCTCCCCCACCTCCCTCTGATGAATTTCTCAATGACGACTCGGGACCGAATTTTTCGCCTCTCGTTATCGCCATTATTGGCATATTGGCAAGTGCCTTTCTCCTTGTTAGTTATTATGTAATCATCTCCAAGTATTGTGGCAACAGATTTTCATCAAGAAGAAGAGAAAATAGTGAAGACAACACAGAATTCGAAGACATTAATCAAGAGCCTTCAAATCATGAGTTCTGGCATGTCCCAAGAAATGGCATTGATGAGGCTGTTATCAAGTCTATTACAATGTTCAAGTACAAGAAAGATGATGGATTCATCGACGGAACAGATTGTTCTGTTTGCCTCAGTGAGTTCGAAGAAAACGAGAGCCTTAGGCTTTTACCAAAATGCAGCCATGCTTTCCATGTACAATGTATAGATACATGGCTTAAATCTCACTCGAATTGCCCTATCTGTCGAGCAGATATCTCTTGTGTCAATGCATCGTCTCCTCAATTAGCCCATTGGATTTCAGAAACTCCTCATGATCGTAATGAATCTCGACCCCGGAGCCCGGCCGAAGATGGGAATGCAGCTGTGGTAGATGATTTTCAGATAGATATTAGAGAAGAAGAAACTTCACAAAGAAAAGTACAGAATTATTTTGGGGATTCAGAACTTAGGGACACTGCAATTCAAATTAGAAGATCAGTGTCCATGGATAATATTTGTGAACATCATTTGTCAATAGCTGATGTATTCCGGATTCGTCCAAGAAAGTTGCAGCTTGCAATCTGTACCGAGGATACAGTTTTAGGATTAGCTCACCCTCATGGGATCGCGACCTTTTGTCCTGGCCATGTTAGCGCGTGTGTAGCCCAAGGTACAAGGGACAAGATGATATATAAGAAAGATTACGAAATGGAAGAGTGCCACTTCTTGAGTGACATTGGAACATCCAAAAGGCCTGTAGAAGAAATGAATAGGTATAGTTGTAGTGGTACAAGTCCTGTTGGCATTAAGAGATCACATTCATGTGGGAGGTTCTTCTTCTCCAAACGTGGAAGAGGAATAATTCCATACTGAAACTTCCAATTTTATGAATTGTTAATTTCATATTTATCCTTGGAAGTATAAAAGATTTAAATATTATGAATAGATTTTTTTTGTATGAATGAAGAAATTATGTATGTTGATCGGGAAAAATGTCATGTTCTGAATTATAAGTTCATTTCCCATATTTTGACACCTATCAAGATGATATAAAGTCGGATAGAGGTGTTGAGTGCGAGAAAGTGCATAATTCCCTCTTTAGTGAACATTTTTCATCGAATTTATTGAGACATGTACTTGCCCTTTCTTAAAAAAACCACAAGGATGGGGAATTTATTAGTACCAATAGAAACAAGTAAAACTTAAGAGGAGACTAGGCTTGACCTTTACAAATTATATGAAGTCTCAAATTTCTTGAACAGCATTAGCACCTGAAATTGCTTACATTAACATGGGTTGAGTTTGAAGATGCGGTTTGTAATGATAAAAGAAAGTTGGGTTCTCCAAAGAATCCTAAATCGGGCGGGGATGGGGGAGGAGGACATGTTTAACTACTTCTCTTACACGAGTTTACTAGTTGTAAAGCCTAAATATTCTTTTTTCTCTTCATTCGAATCAATTTTTCCATTTTGCGGGTGACATCAAAACTACTTGAAAATAGTTGGTTAGATCTTAACGCTCTACAATGTAATATAAAAAATTATCATGCAAAGTGTTGATAGTTCAAGTTAGGTATGAAATTGTGATTCTTAGAGGAATTGGCTTGTCCAAAATGAGTTTGTTGGTTAGATATGGACTATGTGTTTCGTGTTCAAGACATTAGGGATCGTATAAATTTGATCACCAATAAAAGACCATTCATTCCTACTTGTCTACTTTTTTATTGGCTTAATTATACTTTAATCTCGCTAGTATTAAGGCTTAAATTCCTTGTATTCTAACTCATTTACTTCATGTAATATAATATAATTAAGATGTTAATAAAAAAACTTTAACCCATTAATCGCATATTTGGTGCGATTAGATAGAACTAGATATATGCCCTACAAGATAATGATTCATATGAGAATACTGATCTTGAAATCTGTATGTTAATTTGAGTCTTAGTTGGATCGAATCGTTTATTAGAGTTTAATAAATTGTGATATCATATTAAAATTTGAGTTTTATTTTTAAAGGTCAAACTGATGTGAGCACGGAGTCGAGTGCGTCAAAATCAAACTCGGGAAATGATCTGTTGATTATCGAGGGAGGTCCAATGACACGGTTGAGAGCAAAGCGGGTGAAAGAGGCTATGGGATAGCTTGCTCAAACTATGGTGGACAAAATGTTGAAATTAGAAAACCAAGGAACAAGTTTCATGTTGGGCTTGGAAGAAAAAACCAAATGGATCAACTCGGTTTAAGCAACGTGGATGAACACGTGCATATCTTTCAACCCGGGTGTTGAATTTCCGTCCATAAGTACAATTCGAAAACGACACGAAATTCTGCACAAGAAAAAATGGGGGTCAAATTTATTACTATGTGACCGCACAATAGAAAACACTATGCGGCCGCATGGAGTCATGCAGGGAATTCCAAGAGCAAGTTCAGATGAATCATGCGACCGCATCCAAGTCTACCATGCAGTCACATAGGCCAAAACGAGGCGATATTTTTTCTTTTTCGCGGATTTCCTAATTGCAATAGAATTATGTTCTTACTAGCTTGATTTTAGGGCTAGTATAAATATGATTTTTCATTCTTCATTGTAACACAACACATTATTGAGAATTTTTTTTACGAGGAAATTTGCTTTCATTCCATTGTTCTTCGTTGGACAATTTGCGAACTTATCAAGCATCGTTCTTGTGGCGTTCAAATCAACCGGGTGAGATTCTCAAATAATCAATCAAAAGGGTCAACATTCGATTACGTTTCTTGGTTATTTTGATTCGTTATTTTTTGAATTAAATCCAAAACTTTGGTTCTTTGGCGTTCTTGGGTTCGATTTCAATCTATATGAGTTGATTATGTATTTTACATTTATTCAAAGTAAAATCCATTCCTCCAAAGGATGATTCCGTGGTTGCGTGAAGGGTAAGACGTAAGATTGAACTTTGTCCTTGATTAGGTGAATTCAGAACGACTAGTTCTTCTTTAAATTTGGGTCTTTTTTTAAGGAGGGAATTAGGCTCACTACTATAAAAAAGAAACCAATTAGATTAATGTACTTAACATAAATTTAAACCTCCAATCACCGTAATTTATACGTCCCAAAACCCATCCCATTCAATTACATACACACATAGACACAAAGACTTGGCTTCGCTCACGATTTTTTCAAAATTTTCATCAACATCATCCCCTTTTTCTCCAAATTTCGGTGGGCTTTGAAGATTAATTATATTCCAACATCATTCATCTACGAATTCACACTTCCATCCATAAAAATTTCAAGAAATCAAAGGTAAATTGGCTCAACTTTATGAGTTTCGAATTTTTTCTTATTTGTCTTAAATTCTTGCTCATGGTTGGAATTTTTTGAGTTTTATTGGGAGTATAGGCGTAGTTGATGTTGGTTTTGTGGATTGGTTGTGGAGTATTTGGATTTAGCATAGAATCATGAGAAAATTTTACTCTTTTCAATTATTGTGCATATTAAGTGTTCGATTAATTGCTCCAAATGCATTTTTGTGTTAATTATGCCATGATTTTTGCATGATACATAAAATATACACATATAAACACTCATATATCATTGTTTATCTCCATTTGCATGAATTGAATGACAATTTAGGGAGAAGCATATTCAAAGCCTACATTCCTCCATATGTCCCCTGCGTCCCTGTTTGAGTCCCTACTTGCAGTCACAGTTTTCTGCTTATTGCTTATTTAGGATTGCTATATCATATATGAGTAACTAATGGTCGTTCAACCATGTTGACTTGTTATGAGGAGAACCAAGGAGGCCAATTAAAGTGGGGAACAAATGAAAGAGGAAGACCAGAGCAAGACAAGAAGAGGAAGAAGGAAATGCAGCCAACGGTTTCCCTGAAATTCAAATCCAGAACAGAAAGAACAGTTTACGCTTTTGTTTTCTATTATAACCTAGATATGGAATTGGGAGAAGTTTGTGAATGATTATCATGATAAAATCCACCACCACCTCTAAGTTATAATATAATGTTTCTAGGGAAGGTAAACATCTTATATGGATAGCAAGATGTTTCAGCTTATATAGAGACGTCATTTTCTGCATTTTTACTGCAAAGTTTTACAACATGCTAGTTTTTACTTTTCCTTAGCTTTGGAATTATACAGAACTTGTAATCTTGGATAGAAAATCCACATGTAGAACAACTGATGTTTTGTAGGATTTTTTTGGTTATGAATTGTATTTGCGTTCTGATACTTTATAACTTGTTTTCCATTTTCCGTACAATTAATGTTATGGATCTAAATGGGAAAATATTTGTTTTCCATTTTTCGCCTCCTGTTCTTGATTGCTAACTAGCTACTGCTTTTTCTAAGTTCTGTCACTTTTTTTGAGTTTCGGTAACTTTTATAGTATTTGTCACTATTTTTTATTACTTTTTTTTGGTTTTTTGGCAACTTTTTTGACTAACAATATTACTTTTTTATAAAAGTAAGATTGTGTTACACTCTCACTTACTTAATTTTATGCATTACCATCTGGAGATATAAAAGTTGCTCGTCAATTTTATAAAAGTATATTGTGTCACTTTTTAAAAATTTGTCACCTTTTTTAGGTTTTTGTCACATTTTAAGTTTTTGTCACTTTTTAAGAAAATATAAAAATGAAATAATATGTTATATTTTCTCAACATAATAAGCACGTGGAATTTAAGTTTTTGTCACTTTTTTGAATTTGTATCACTTTTTGAGAGTGTGTCAGTTTTTTTGACTTTGAGTTACTTTTTTTAAAAAAGTTAAAAAGTGACAATTTTTATAATAAAATTGACATTATGTCATTTTTTCATTTTACACAGTATTTTTTACTTATTAAAAACCATTCATATGATTTTTCAAAACATCCCTAATTTTAACGGTATTTTTGTAAGTATCCCTTTTTTTAAGTTGGAATTTATTGTTGGGCTCTCAAGTGATGGTAAGAAATTAGAAATTGGTCATTGCAGGAATTTGAAAGGGAAAATTGTATAACTGCAAATGTTTTAAAAATAATAATTTTGTAAAAAAAAAAAAAAAATTAGGTAGTCATATCTTGTGATATCTGATAAACTGTTGCGACCAATAATTTAATTAAATAAGTCACAATTACAATAACACAATTTATGCTCACATACTAGTCACAAATCATTACAAGATGACATTCACAAAGATACATGTTGTAAGTCATAATTACATATTCAATTGCATATCATATTTTAGTAAGTCACAAATTATTTACTGATCACAAATTATTCAATTAACCCCACCCCCACCTCAACTTTCCTCACCCCCACTCCACCACTCAAATCGTCGTTTCCACTTCAAATCCACAACTCATCACCACCAACTCACAGACGCTTCCCAACCAGAAGTAGATTCTAGTTCGATTGATGAAGATCCATGGCTGGAGTAGTAACAAAACGAGGTAGCGATGAAATAGGTGTAGGTCCATGATGATGGGTCCCATCGATGTGACTGGATTCAAGGTTTTTGGGATTTGCAATTTTTGCATATTTTGGGCTCTATGTGATTTTGTAGAGCAAATCGAAGGTGGGGGCTGAGTTCGGGAGGTGATTCCACTAGACAGTATGTGGAGGAAGTGGTGACTAGCAGTGGCAGTCAATATTCATTGGGGATTGGAACTATGGGGATGGTAAGGGGTTTGGGGGGTAAAAATGGGGGTTGGGGTTAGTGTTTCTGGGGTAAATGGGAGTGGGCGTGACTTAGTTTTTGAAAGAAAATTATTATCACGCTATCATAGAAATGAAAATTTAAAATAGGCGTGTGTAATTTTCCCAAACGAAGGGTAGAGATAGCGCTAACTACTAAGTGCTAAGGAAAATTGATGAATGCGTCCCT